ATGATAATGAATATGATAATGACATGATAATAATATAAACAATTATAACAATAATAGTAAAAGAATTTAGGTAACCTTTTCTTTGTCAACTGTGCAGGTGTACTGAGCCCAAAAATTTGAACAATTTTTTTATAGCAGTTTCTGAATCTACACTATTTAATGCATGTGCTCAAGAATTATTTTGTCAAAATTCAAATTCCAAGAGATGAAAAAAAAGCAAGAAAAAATACATAAAATAGGTACAATTGTATAAAAAAAATGAAACAGCTTTTTCACTCTCCTGAAAAATTTAGCTTTCTAGGTTAAGTACATTTTAAACAGCTTTCAGACGATTTATAAAGCACTCTATCCTATACAAATTATTAGCTCTGAACACTTTACATTGATGGCATGATTACTCAGATTAAACCTCACACATACAAGAAAAACATTTCATATGCACAAGAAAACCAGTTCAACCACATAAGGAACAACTTTCTCAGCCGTTCAATAATTACATACACACACATGTGAAGAAACACGATGTAATCAGGCGCTCGTCAAATTATAATCAAAGTGAAGAGACTGGCATTTTTCCGCAGGTTTGGGAATTTTTATTGAATTTTTTTGTTTTTTGGCCTAGTACCTTTCATACCCATTTAAGAACACATTTCTGTGTGAATTTTGCAGAAAAACGTTGATTAAAGGCACAAAAAAGTAAATTTTCAGTTTCCATGGACTCTCCAGCTAAGGAAATAATAATCTTTGGCGGTCATTTTCTCACTAATTTTACCTCTGAAACCAGATGACCCCACCTTCTTCATTCTTGACTAGTATTCAAAATAAATGGACATTTTTTTCATCCAAAGCAGAACAAAAGAACAAGCTTTAAGATGATACCAATAACGTGAAATGACCAAACATTGACGAGAGCCTGATTTCACCACATCGTGACACATATGAACGGCAGTAAGATAAGGGAAAGACAAAGAGAGACACAACAGGCTTTTTAAAAATAGTCTTTAGCCTTTGATGTACTAGCTTAGGCTACAGAAACAAGAGAAGACTGATCAGATTCTCTGGATTGAAAAATATCATTGATTAAAATTCTCATAGGTCACTAAGTGCTCATCACATCCTGAACAGGTCGATACACTTTACAGAAGGACGGAAATCAGCTCAAAGGACACACCTATGCCAGTACTAAAACATTTGTTAAAAATCTCAATAGGTCATAAGGCCCTTTTAACAAATCCTAAACAGGTAAGTAAATAAAATTTACAGGACTGAAATCACCCCTAAGTACACACTTTTGTAGGTACTAGGAATAATAAGTAGCATTTGTATAGCGCATATCCCCGCTCAACAGCAGGCTCTATGCGTGCGCTTTACACTATATTATTATCCCAGCAGACCACAGAACACTCCGAAACATTCTCAGCTTCCCGGGAAGCAGACAGTGCAAGCAGCTGATTAAGCACTCAAACACTAACAAACTGACAAGATCTTTCGCTGTCTATAGCCGGGTACCCATTCACACCTGGGTGAAGTGGGGAAAATTCGTGTAAAGTGCCTTTCCCAAGGACACAACGTCGGGCCCCTGACGGGATTCGAACCCACGACCCTACGGTTGCGAGTCCAAGAGCCTAACCACTAGGCCACCGACGCCACATAAGAACATCAACATAAACAAAATAGGTGGTGACCTGGCAAGAATCACTCTTTTCGGGGTTGCAGATATAGACTCCACAGACAAATTACCGACTCTGTCGCCATCTTAACCCGGCGGACACACACATCCACTCAAACACACACACACATAGAGAGAAAGATACACACACACACACACACACACTCACACCACACACACACACACACACCGCACTCATCACACACACATACACCACACACACACACTTACACATACACACACATAGACCACACACACACACTTACACATACTTACACACACATAGACCACACACACACACTTACACATACTTACACACACATACACCACACACACACACTTACACATACTTACACACACATAGACCACACACACACACACACACTTACACATACTTACACACACATACACCACACACAAATACTTACACATACTTACACACACATACACCACACCCACACACACATATACAACACACACACTTACACACACATACACATATACCACACACACACATACACACTTACACATACTTACACACACACACTCACACATACATACTTACACACACACTTACACATCTCCACTCACTCATTCACACATCAACACGGACTAGACGTACACATACTTACACACACAAATCAACACCGACCAGACTTACATTGGTCTCCTGTTCTCCAGATGGTGAAGTTCCTCCAGAAGCTTCCAGGTGATTCCTCCATTGGTCGAGTACTGCAGCAACACGGACTCCTCCCTTGTCTCAGACCCCTGACACTCCGGGCCATCTCCGCCAATACGGATATAAAACTGGATGAAATCCGCCGACGTAGTGTGCAAATCCTTTGTCACTAGTTCTCGGGTGCCATCCTGAGCAAAGGAGGAAAAAAATGAGAGAGAAAAACATTTGTTTGACGAGCTAATACAAAGTGAATCCGTAGCTGTCAACTTTTCAAAACCAAAAAACAGAAAGTACCCCCCCCCGGTCAAGATGGCAGGCATTGGCCAAATAGCCCCTCCCCCCCCCCCCCACCTCTTCCAACACACTTTTATGCATGAACAAAAATGTTTAATTATTTCAAGCAGATCTGTAACATAAATGTCAGAAATGTTCAGTAAAGACCTTTCCAATTGACTTATGGTCTTTGTTCTCCTTATTTGCAAATCCTGTTTCGAAAGTTCATAACTTTTTTTCAGCACTGCCAAGTCTGTGAGAAGCAATACTACGAAACAAAGAATATGTATTTCACGACACAAAAATGTACTTAAGTACTCGCAGACCCCCCAAAAATGTACAAAATGTTGTTTTCTTTAACATACTGGTTGGCAACTGAGCAAGTCATGATGAGGGAGGGTCAGAGACTCAGCCGTGAGGACCATCTACTTAAATGAGTGCCTGCTTTGACTGTATTTAACTGAGGCATCTACATTTTTTGGAAACGACGCCAAATCAAAAGCAATGATGCTAACAGCACAAGATGAAAACAAAACAGGAATGTTTCTGGTTAACTATATCAGAGAGCAAGGTGAATATGTATTAAACAGAATAAAATTAGAAGGTGTCCATTAAGTTAAATCTTACCCCTGCAAAATACATGTTTTCTCCTGACAGAATAAGTCCACAACCTTGTCCGGTGCGGACCACTTCCCCTCCTTTGATGGAAAAGTCCGTCGTTGGATCATACCGAAGCCCAAAGCCAGCTTGGATGGAAGAGTCCATTTGGAGCTCAGGGGTGCATGTGTCGCCTGTGAAGCCTTTATTACACCTGAGAAAGGGAAACAGAAAAGTAATGACGATGACAAATAATAATTATAATAACAATAACAATAATAATAATGATAATAATTTAAAATACAGCAGTAATTTTAAAAATATGAGAGTAGTGCAGCTTAAACATTGAGTCAGGGCTGAAATCTTCAGAGTCTCCGTGCTTGTCCTTCATTTTTCGGTTATGACATCTATTTAAATTGAATTGTGTCATGATATTCGATATTTATACTCGAATAGAGAGAAGACATACAATACATGAAATAAACACGTCCCTTCCCTATGAAACCAGTAAGGCTGAACATTCATTATCGTCTTATGCTCATCTGATATATCTAGAATTCATAGCATCACAACTTGCCCTTGCAAGATGGGGAGTGAGCTTGAAAATTTGTTCTTTTCTTCCTCTTCTTCTTCTATAAGTGTTGTTATCATTATTTTTATTTATATTATCAGTATTATTTTCACTAGTGAAACCAAAATTAACAATTGCCTGTTTTACTTTTCAACTTATTTTCAACCCCCCCCCCCTACACACTTTAGTCTAAGAATAATAATAATAATGATAAAATATGACATTTATCTAGCACTCAACCCTGATCAAAGAATACCAGCTCTGAACACTTTACAAATACAAGTAGCAACACAGAAACAGTACATTGTGTTCAATTAAAAATCTAGATATATACAGTCGAATGACCTGCCCTAATGGCCACCTGTATAAGACAATCACCTGAGGAAATGACCACCCCCCCATTTCCCCCTTGCGATGTTTTAATATTATAATGACACTGTATAAGAAGTCAACCTAACTAGGGCAGCCACTTTTCTCCTCTACAATGTGTGGCTGTCTTACACAATTTCTACTGTATCTCTTTAACTCTTTAGACCCTGAGTTATTTCCACCGTTTCCTGGAGTTTTTTCCTACGGTCACCTAAACCTGGCGCACTATGTCTCATTATAACCCCAAAAGCTTGCCTCTAACTTCTAAATGACAGAAACAAAGTCATTACTAATAAACTTGGTTCGGGAATAGTTCTGAAAAACAAGCAAAAACTAGCACTAAATGAAATTAAACAATTGTCACTGGTATCGGACGCACAGTGTTATTACCGCTGGATGCTACCAGCATCCGATGGGGTTTAAAGAGTTAATCTGAAAAAGAAAATAGCATTCTCACCTACAAACTCCATTGTGACAAATGCCTTGACCATTACAGAGGGCTGGGCATCTAGGACCTATGTAGACCCGGGACACGCCCCACACGTCCGACTTGCCCCACTCTGGCTGGACCCACCGGAACTTGGTCTGTGGACTCCTGTTGAGGGAACAACGAGAGAAGATCAGTTAGTTTTAGTTTTAGTAAGAGTTTAACAGCACTTGCAACACAATAAGGTCATATAAGTGCCGAAGATTAGAGGTGTTACAAGAGAGTAACAAACACAAAATAGAAGGAGAAGAGATAAGGACGATAGATGTTTGATAGGAAAGAAGGAGCAAACCACACCAGAGCATCCGCCAACCACCCTCAAAGAAGATCAGCACTGGCTGAGAGAAAGACTCTACGTGATTATCAATACAAGGTAAAAGTAGGCCTACAGCTCTACATAAGCAGTCTTTACAAACGTTTAGTTTTAGTAAGAGTTTTACGGCACTTGCAACACAAATAGGTCATATAAGTGCCAAAAATCAGAAGTGTCACTAGAGAGTAACATACAATGAAAAGAAGGAGAGATAAGGGCAATAGGCATTTCTAAGGAAACATGTCAAATATATAAATATTCTGTAGACAGTACCAGTATTTTCCTGCAATTTTTTTTATTCAATCTTTGAAAAAATTCAAAATGGGATGAGGGTGGGAGCAGTGATATGCCTTTCCATAGAGGAGAAGGAAGAGACAACAAAACTGGCTCTTACTATGAGCTCCTTAACAGCTCAGCCCACGATTAAAAGACCAAATAAAAAATGCAATACAAAAGTGTAATAAAATAAGGAATATACAAACACGTAAAACATAAAACAAGGAATATACAAAAACGTAAAACATAAAATAAGGAATATACAAACACATAAAACGTAAAATAAGGGTTCTACAAATATGTAAAACATAAAATAAGGGTTCTAGAAACAGGTAAAACAACTGACTGACCACGTATCCGGAGACAGCAGCACTGTCACAGTCTTCCACTCCTCAAAGTCATAAGGGTTATAGACAGAGCCTCTACGGTACTCCTCACAAATGTCAGGAGGTAGGCACGGCTCTTCCACCTGAGATTGATGGATTATTCATTGTGTGTACAGATAGAAAAAATACACAGAAATCACAAAAATTGGAAGCATCAAACATAAAAAAGACAAAGGTCAAATACTAATAGCAAACTAACAAATGAAATATGCATTTTTGCTAGCCTTGGTGCCTTTCCAATCTTTAAAAAAAGTGGTATATGTACACAAATGAGCATACAAATTCATAAATACACATGAAGAATCTAATGCATAAACAAAAATGCACACAATCAGTAAAGTCACTTAGCAATAATTTACAGTTTTCAACAAAGGCTGTCAGATGTAGAGTGGAATAAAAACAAACAAATATATCAACACTTTTTAACAATCCACCACAACTGATCATTCAATTCAAAGTTCAATTTCTGTTGACAAGTTAACAGTCCAGGTAGCATTTTATTTCAATGTACAAGTAAAGCTTAACTTTGAAATACTCTCTTCAAAAGGAGATTGAGCTCCTCACCAAACTTTATCTTCAGTATATATGGAATGTTGTCCCTCCTCTGTACGCAGCCAGTTTTGTCATCCAATCTTTCAGCATCACACACTTTCCTATAACTTTGCCACTATTTAGCCTATTTATGTAAACTATGGACAAAACTGAGTAGAAATGAATGATCAAAGCAGTATACATTACAGTTTGATAACAGAGAGACGAATTTGTTGAGATTTGAAAGTTTTTGTTATGCCTGTAAACAGCTGAGCTATGCTGGGAGCTAGTTAAACTTGCATGAGTGTATACAAAGACTTAATAGAAAAAGGCTGAACAGTAAAAGAGTGAAGACATAGAGAACTCACAGGGTGCCAGGAAATGCCATGGTCAACAGAGTACTGGAAGTAGATGGCGTTGTCGGTGTTTTTGGAGAAAGGAGCTCCACAGCCCATCACAAGGTCAAACTGAGCCATGTACCCGGGACCTACACGCATTGGTTTCGAGTTTAGAGAGCGGGCCTCATCGTTTTTTTCTGGGTCTGAAAATCTGGAAAGGCAACACAAGGCACAAGCCTGAATTAGGCAGAATTCTTTTGGACAGGTATGTCAATATGACATGGAGGGCAAACAAAAATCTATAATTAAAGTGAAAACCTTTATATATAAGGATTTCATAACAGGTATCTCACAGATAATTTTATAAAAATCGAATCACTCACACAACACTGCGCATCCTGTTGCAAAAGCTATCTTCCAGCTTGCCATGGTTGGAGGTCAGTCGACTGTCAAAGTTGGGCATGTCCATCATCTCCACGGAGAGCAGATTGGAGTTAGCGTCTGCTGTCAGGACAATGTCGTCAATGGCCCAAACATCCTGACCCCGGCCCGAGTGCTGGGGCTGTCTCCAGCGGAACTGACACATGGAGCCCTGAGCTGACGCTGGCACTGGCAGCGACACTGATCTGTTGATGTTGTGAAGACAGGTTTAAGTTTAAAGCTTTTACTTTCAGTAAGAGTTTTACAGCACTTACAACACAATCAGGTCATATAAGTACCAAACATTAAAAGTGTTACTGGAGTGTTATATACACACAAAAGAAGGAGAAGAGATAAGGACAATAGATGTCTGACAGGAAAGAAAGAGCAAACCACATCAAAGCACCCACCAACCACAAATGAGTTTAGAGCAAAATTCTTGTTGTTCCTAGATGGACTGGACTATACCTGTTACGAGAAAGTGGTTGAGCATGTCGGCAGAAGAGCTTTGAAGACAAATCAGATGTCCAATGTAAAAAGACTTCAGTTTTGTGATTATACGGTCTTTGATGCATGTGGGGCATTTTCATAACAACTGAATAGTCGAAAACAGTGAAAGAAACTATATTAACACAACAGTCCTCTGTTTTAGTAAAAGACAAAGCACATAGAAATAATAACAGTCACTTAGTGCAGGAAGAAACAAGTATGACAGACAAAAAAAAAAAAATGTAAATGAAAGAAAAAAAGCCATTAGTAATACAGGGTGCGGTGGCAAAGTGGTTAGTGCGCTCGTCTCCGAAGCGGAAAGTCCGGGTTCGAGCCTCGGTTCGACACGGACCTTTTCGCCCCCTCCTACCCACCCAACAGTAATGGTTACCTGACTTCGAGTTGGGGAAATAAAGGAGGCGTAGAAAGGAACTGGCCACCCCACCACAATAGGCCGATGAAGGCCCAGGAAGTTGTCTCACTAACAAGGCAATCCCCAATGTCCGGATCGGAGGCGGGAAAAACTTTACTTTTAATACATCAAACCGTTGTCAAAAACCAAACTGGATAAAAGTACATGGCTTCAATGTCAAGCGGTAGGATACGAAACTTTGTAGGGAAACGGAGATGGAAGGGGCGAGGGGACTTATTACAAGAAACAAAACCACTATAAAAGTACAAAGCTTTTATCCATGCAAAATAAAAACCGAGGCAAAACTCACGTGGGCTGTTGGAAGGCATCAGGGAGAAACTCGTGCAACAGTGTCCAGTGTACGCCTCCATTGCAGGAAGATTCGAGCAGGACACTTTCCCAGGGTTCATCAGGAGGAGGGCATGAAGACACTACAGACTGTGTGCCAATTCTGATGGTGAACTGCAGCGCACTGTGCAGGCCACAGGTACATGGGAAGAGAAACAGAAGTCATTATATTAAGTTATAATTCTGTGAACTATAAAATTCAAAGATAGCGCATTCACAATACTGACTACCAATAAAGATCCTACTGGAATTGATTGCTGAGAGACAGAAAAATGGGAGCTAACTTACTAACAGAAAAAAATGGAAAGAAAATTATAAAATAACAAAAATGATAATAATAATAATAGTAATAATTAAAAAATAATAATAATACAGATAATGATAATATTAATAATGATAATTATAACAATAGTTTGTCTGTCAATGTCTGATGATGAATTGTGCATCTGCAGAGGAGAATATTTCTCAAAGAGTAACATAAGAAAATAAGGATTAAGATGATTTGTAGCTTCAGCTTTGGCCAATGACATAAACTCTAGCAGAGAAGTGTTTGCCACATTTTGAGCATTTTAAAGCTTCATTTTTACTTGTGGATGTGTGCAGCTTGGGGGGAGAGGGGCTTCTTCATCGACTTCAGCATTTGTAATTCATGAAGCCTCACCTGACCTCGTAATATGATGTGCTCTAATTGCAACTCGAGTGCAGAAACAGAATCCAGGTTTTCTTGAACAAGTGTCTGAGGAAGTTATTGAGGATCAGATGGACAGACAGGATCACCAAGATCAAGAGGAAGTATTCAGAAGAATGAGACAGAGCCCAGTCAGAGATGAGGTGGGAAGAAGGCATTGGCGATGGATTGGACACACTTTCAGAAGTCAAGCAGCTGCATAACAAAGAAAGTGTTAGATTGGAACCCACAGGGTAAAAGATCAAGGGGAAGACCACGTGGAACCTGGAGAAGAGTCATGGATATGGATGTACAGAAAAGTGGGAAGACATGGAGTGACATCAAGTGACTAGCCCAGGATAGGGAAAGGTGGAAAGTGTTTGTTCGTGGCCTATATCCTGATCCGGTGTGAGAAAGGCAATGATGATGATGATGAATTGCAACTCTCTAGCATAAGAAACAGAAACTCACGACGCTAATGTGGTGTTCATCTCAGCTGTTGTAAGACTGCGCGGGCCAGAGCCACTGAAGACCAAAGCCTTCCCAGAGGACAAGACGCCACAGTCATAGCCCACAGAGCCCCCAGCCACGTCCAGGACAACAGAGGCGCTTACGATGGAGGAATCTTCAAAGCTTTCCTGCAGAGACGAGACTGGAGGAACGACAGGGCTCTCACAGCGTTCTCCTTCGTAGCCAAAATCACAGCTGTGAAGAAGTGAGAGAAAAACACATATGTCATCATAATTTTTGAAAATTAATAACAAAATAGATGAAGTAACAGAATTATAATATAAAACTAAAAAAGGTAAACAAGCAGTATTCATGAGAAACATGTTTTCCCTTTGAAATGTCTCAAATCATTTGCTAGACTTAGATAAAATTCTCTGTTAAAAAAACAATAAAAGCTTAAATAATTCCTTTAACGTTAGAAGTACAGTGTTAAGTCATCTCAATAATAATATCCTGCATAATTTGACACAATTTTAATGAAAGACTCTTACAACTTACGAGCATAAATATGAACTTTCAACATCTCAACCAAGTGATCTTGGCTGCGCTCCCTGGCCAGCTCGCTTGCTCATTCATGATGACGTCAAAATGTCATAATCGTTTTGCTTTGCATGCCGAGCAGCCACTCCTTGTCTACTTATGGCAGGATCACAAGCACCGGATATGCTCAACTCGTTTAATCAGTGGTACATCATGGGCTTATAGCCAGCAGTACAATGTATTTAACCCTTTGAGCCCTTGCTACTTGTACACTGGTTGTGCGTAAAACTGCTTGTATGCCTAGCCACCAATCAGCGGTGAACAAGACCCCATCCCCAGCCCTGCCCGCCTGAGACAAAACGCTTTCAGAAAACAGTGTTTATTACACAAGACGTTATTGATTATTTTGAAGACCTTTCTGAATTAGTTGCTGGTAATGACAAGGACCACCCTGAGTGGGATATGGAATGTGATTCTGACGATCATATAAATGTTAGTAACATATTGCTCAGAAGCTCAGGCAGAGGGGAACGGTAGCCTCAGGAGGTCAGGGCTCAAAGGGTTAAGTGAACTTTTAATCTGGTGCTGGCAAACCAATCCACTCATTTTTTTAACACATCCTCTGCAATCATAGGTTGCAAATCTGTAATGAGCCCTCGCAACACCACTAGTGGACTGCACCCATAATGCACTTACCTGCAGCCTTCTGCTGTACAAAATCCATGTCCATTGCAAAGGTCTTTACATGATCCGATGAACACTGAAAGAGAAGAACGGACAAACATTTATTATATTATTATAATAGTAGAGGGTTTTACGGCGCTCGCAACTGCATAAGGTCATATGAGCGCCAAGGGGTGGGTGTCAGCAGAGAAGTCTTTCCAGGGAATCAGACTTACTCTGCTCACCTCTCTAGCTTCAACGGCACAAGGTCTGCTTCGACTATCAAGGCACCCCGGAAATAGCAGGTCACAAGAGAGTGACAAACATACAAAAGAAGTAGGAGCGTGACATGAATCAGCCCATTTACAATTCTACTGTGCTTGAACGAGAAATGTCCCCCCTTTGGGAATGGCCTAAAGACACTACAGTCAGTGGCACTATCCCGGGGGCAGAACAAACAAACAGAATGTGCATTGTTCATCAACTTAATAAAAAGATAAAAATTGACAAAAACTTCTATAAGATTTCATAAACCTTAAATTCAAAGGGAAAGCACCTCACTAATCAATGTCTCACACTGGATCTGTAAATCTCAGGTAGGAAATCACATGTCAGTAAGTTCAGTGGACAAAACCTTACGTTTATCTCGCAGGCAGTCAGGACAAAAATCTCACCATCATCCACAGCCCAGGGAGTAGAACTTTTCCCGTACTGCACAACCCTGAACCTCACATGCGGGGACTGGGCCACGTACGGGATGGGAAGAGTTAAACGGCTCCAGCTGTGAAGAAATACAGTCTATCTTAGGACGTATTTGTTCGCGTACTTAAATTTGAAAGTGTTAATGAAAAAAAAATAAAATATACATTAAAAAAATCTTAGGAAGGTGTGATCATAGACTCAATCATAATACCCTAGAACAGGCACAGTCATGGCTGCTACTCTTTGCTCTCTATAAAAGCTTAGCTGAGCTAGTGCACTCTAAGGGAGTGCAATTGAAAGGCAAGATACCAGTCTCGCTATAGGCAAAGATAGTAAATAACAAGATGGTCCACTCAGCCAAAAAAGAGTCCGCCGGAAGTCCACTCTTTGCTTCAGATGGCGCTGCAGTCTGTTTTGAAGCTCTCTTTCCTTTCTCCAGAAGAAGAATAGGAATAGCACCTCATTGCGTGTGCAGATCGACTGCTGTTCATCAGCTGTTTGGGTTCATTCAGTTCGGAGTTTTAGGTTTTTTTTATTTTAATGACCTCTCGCCTCTCATTCTAAAGTCAAATTAAATGAAGAAATCAGTCGTCTCTTCATCCGGAAGAGGTTTTTTGTCAGCGTAACCATTTTAAGAAAGCGTTCTTCCGAAATTTGAATTCTTACTTATTCAAAAACTTGTTAGTTTCACTTTGATTTTTTTTACACAAGTAGGGTAACTCTGTTCGCAAAGGGTGCACATTGGCGAAGAGGGCGCCACCGAATTTTGAGGACTCTTTTTTAATTGGCTCAAAGAGAGGAGTGGACCCTCTTGTTATGTAGACTCTTTGCTATAGGCGAGTGAGTGCACAACATTTCCCTTCTTCCCCTTCATTTGGTTCCAAATAGTGCCACATGGTGCGCTCCATGTTGAACCAGAATTTAAGTCAGAGTGCATGGTCTTGGATAATAACAAAGGTAGTACATAACAAGATGGGCCACTCAGCCAAAAAAGTGTCCGCAGGAAGTTCGCTCTTTGCTTCAGATGGCGCTGCAGTCTGTTTTGAAGCTCTCTTTCGTTTTTCCAGAAGAAGAATAGGAATAGCACCTCCTTGCATGCGCAGATCGACTGCTGTTCATCAGCAGTTCGGGTTCGTTCAGCGCGGAGTTTTAGGATTTTAAAATTTTAATGACCTCTAGCCTTTCATTCCAAAGTTAAATTAAACGAAGAAAACAATCATCCTTTCCTCCGGAAGAGGATTTTTGTCAGCGTAACCATTTAAAAAGAGCGTTCTTCCGAAATTCGTTCAAAAACTTGCTAGTTTCACTTTGATTTTTTAAACTCAAGTAGGATAACTCTGTTCGCAAAAGGTGCGCTTTTGCGAAGAGGGCGCCACCGAATTTTGAGGACACTTTTTTAATTGGCTCAAAGAGAGAAGTGGCCCCTCTTGTTATGTAGACTCTTTGATAATAATAATAGATAGCATTTGTATAGTGCAAACCCCTGCTCAACAGCAAGCTCTATGCCTTTCACAATCTATACTGTTACCCCAGCAGACCTGAGAGCATTCTGAAACAACCTCAACTCCCAGGGAAGCGTACAGTGCAAGCAGCCATTTATAGGCGCTAAAACACTAACATACTGACAAGATCTTTCACTTTCAACGGCCAGGTATCCATTCCCACTTGGGCGAAGTGAGGAAAATTCGTGTTAAATGCCTATCCCAAGGACACAAAGTTGGGTCTGCGGATTGAACCCCTGAACCCGAAACCTCACGATTACGGGTCTGGTGGCCTAACAACTAGGCTACTGACGCCACACACTTCGATGGGTGCGATGGATAAAACCTGACATTATGGACCTGCATATAAACTCATACAGAGTTCAAAATAGATGAACTTTGAGGCCCTCTGCTTTTGAAATGTTGGTAAAATAAGGTTAACTATTACAATATAGTCAATGCACTCATTCCAACTGCAACAGTGTTCCCCCAGTGTTTTAATTTTTGTTGTTCAGAAAGTAAATAATAATTTAAAAAAACAACAAAGCAATTCAACAGGTGTCTATACATACTACATGAACATAAGAGCCCATTTGTACTCTATTTAAAATTCCCAGACCACCAAAATAGCTGAATCCTGCTTATTCCCACCATAATTAAAGCTTCAGGCTGTACTAGAATTATGTTCTTATAAGCAGCCCTCACCCCTCCAAATCCTTAGATGAGAAAGAAGAGGTCAGAGGTTGATGATGCCCATTGCAAAGGGAAGGAAGGCATGAGGTGTAAAACTCATTCCAGGTCATTCCATGGTCTGTACTGTACTCAAACTTGACACTGGAGACGAAGAAAAGGATCAAATAAAATGTGGATATGCTATGGAAAAAAAGAGTTCTGATGATTGTAGCACAAAGTTATTTTACAAATCATTTGTCATATATTTAGTTTGAAATTCAACAAGTAACATAACTTTTTTTTAAAAATGAAGTCCGTAATTCACAAGCATAACCCTTCAAAAACTTGAAAATAAAATCTGCGGGCTGAATCAGTTCAACAATCTTCAATCGGTGAACCAAACCATTTTCTGTGGTGTTGCGCAGAGGCACTTTGCTCTCACACTTAGAAGACTTGAGTTCAATTTGGAGTGGGGAGAATTCTTATAAAAAATCTGTCTTTCTCCTGTGACATTGTATTCCTCTCAACCTGGGTTGATCTGACAGATCTTAGTTGAGCTGAAGTGGGCTTAAAACTTTTACAATTACATAATTACTTGAGCTTAACATTGGCTCTTTAAAAACTTTATCAAAAGAAAATAAGGAAAAAGAAGAAGAAATAAGACTGGAAATTTCTGTTCTACCTGGTATCACGATCTCCCTCCACACCACAAGCCAGGTTGAGAGAAGCTTGCAGAACTTTATCGCTATCTTCTGTGGATGTTTTTGGGAGGAGGGGAAGCAGCTGAAGGTCGTCCACTGCCCACACATCCTGGCCCAGCCCGCCCGAGGACTTCTGTAGCAGGCAAAGACTTACGGTTCCGTGACTATTGACCTTATTGGTGGCATTAAAAAGGGGGATAGTCACCAGCTGGCTTGTCTGTGGGTATAAAAAAAAGTTTTTTGGCCTATGGAGAAAATGTTGATTGAGTTCGAAAACATTATCTGTTGGTATTTTTAAAAAGGAGGTTATTAACATATGGGACAAAAACAACTCCATGTTAATTTAGTCAGAAAACAACAACAACAGCATAAAAGTAATTTAAAATATAAAAAATCAGAAAGAAGAAATATGGGATGGGGGGGGATAAGCAAAAACAATCTTAAAGCAAGTGTAAGAATAGAAGCAAAGAGTAACAGAGTACGAGAACATTTCTTAGAACAAGAACGTAAAAAATAAAGTTGAAAGACTGAAAATTTGCCACAATTCTAATTCTATTTTGATGACTTATTGCTATACTTTCTCAAGCGACACATTTTTAGGCTGGACAGGATATTAGATGGGATAATATCAGGCTGAGTCAAATGGGTCCTTCTATAAAACCTAGAGTGACATACAACTGATGTGCTATCTTCATTATATTGATTTGTGCTACCATTACATTCAAGTTGAACTGACAGTTTGCCTGACCAGGGTCCACCAGCAAAAAATGTAATACTTTAAAAGAAACATTTTTATGAGCAGGCTATAGGTGACTGTTGTGATTCCACATTCTTTGGCTTTTATTCTTAAAGAACGGAGCTAAACAGTATCCATAAACCCGTTTGAAACTATATGTTGACAAAGAAAAGACAAACAATGAAAACAACAGGCATTCTGTGAAAAGCTAAGAAACTAATCAGTTTGTAGCACGCAAGAGATAAGACAAGATAAGATAAGATAGATAAGATAGACAAAACTTAAATTGTCCAGATGCTGGCACATTGGTTTGGTGTTTCACCCCCCCCCCCCCCCCCCCCCCCCACACACACACATCCATACACATGCTCTCTCTCACACATCCTCCGTTCCACACACATCTGTCCATATACATATATGTGAAGGGTGCTGACAAAATGAGTTGTTTCTCGGATTCAAGCCTGATTGAAATAGATACAAAACGCTTATTGGTGAAGTTTTTACAGTTAAGAAGTATGAAATAATATAAAGCATGTTATATATTTAAAGAATATGGCATCTATAGAAAATCTATAAATTTTACCCTAGTGTCGATTTTGGGCCAATATCTCCATTTGTGGATTGCGAGAAGTAACTCATTTTGTCAGCACATCTCACATATATAATAGTATGCTTGACCTCACAAACAGACTGAGAGTCACACCACACATAATATAACTGAACAATTATTGTTCACAGTAATAGTAAGTTAAGCTAGATACATAATGAGTGTTCTGACAGTAACTTCCCATTCCCTCGTGCAGCATACCATGTAACGGTCAGCCGGTAGCGTGTCCAGCACCAAGGAGTGGTCATCGTCATCCCTCAGGTACACCAGGACCGGAGGGCTTGACTTGCTACTGTGACAACCCTTGCCGCCTGTGGAAACCCAGATCAGATGAATTGTACATAACAGCCTGCACTAAAAAATTAATTCCCATCTTTTTAGACAAACAAACATCCCTTGTCCCTTCAAATAAAAAACAGTAATCGGAAGTAAAAATCCAAGGCTTCTGATCTGTAACAAAGGAAGATACAGAAGGTCATTTTTTCGATCATCCATCAAAATTTGTTCATCTTAACCATCTTGTCATATAAGTATTCATATGCCCGTAGAGCATGCATCAGAATAACATTGAGTATGTACCTAGCTTAAGATTATTAATGTTTGTATTACTGTTAATTTATATTAGGCATGTGACTGTAAGCTTGTGTGTGTGTGTGTGCATGTTTTTGTGTGTTCATGTGTGTGTATGTGTGTGTGTGTGTGCGTGCGCGCGCGTGTGTGTGTGTGTGTGTGCGCGTCTATGTATGTGTATGTGTCTGTGTGTGTGTGTGTGTATTTGTGTACGTAGTGAAACACAAAACCAATGTGCCAGGATCTGGACAATAAAGATGTATTTTATCTTATCTTATCTTATCTTATATGTGACTTGGAATAAATCCTCTGCCTTTGACTATGAATTGTACGTGTTTAACGCCCCCATCGACACAAATTAGATCATTATCTGAGATGGGCTGCTTCGACTCTACCTGTCAAAGCTAACCCAGGAGAAGAGGGATACAATATCCCAGCACACGGAGATACCCAATAAAAATTCTCCCCACTCCCGAATAGAACTCAAATCTTCTGTGCACTCCAAGCAAGCACCTAACCATCACATCGCAGACCCCTTACTTTTGGTTAGTGTGAAACAATAACGCGAAAGTTGGAAAATTACATCCAGAAATCATTAAATTTTTGCAGGCTCTGGTGGCTTAGTATAAATATTGAAAATGAACCTCAAAAAAGACTTTCATTTAGCAAACTGAACTCTTTATGTTTGTAAAAAGCAAAAAGAATCACATCGACACATGAATGGTCAAGTAGACAGTGCAAGGAGAAAGTAAGGCAGACAGACAGAGACAACAAAGAGAAAGAAAAATAAATTGGACCTACAAATGGCATCCTCCAACCACTTGCAAAATCTCTTTAAAAAGTTGGGAAGAGGCAAATAAACCTCTGTCCCATCTCCATTGAGACTGGGTACTTAAAAAGTATATTGAAAAGAAGAAAGTAAACGCAATTACTTGGGAAACTCTGCCTCAGCATTTTAAAAATATTCAAGCAGTAGAGCTCCTAATCAGTGTAATTTGTTTTGAAAAAAACCCAGTGTGCTATGGATAACATTGTCTCAACATTTATATCCATTTTATGGAAGAATATTAGGAATCTATTCACATCTCCGAACTCATTCTACACATTTCACTGCATACTACATAAGCGATGCAACATCAGTGTGGATGGAAAGCAAGTAACTCTCATCACAGTAATGTTTGATCAAAGTTGACGTGTCAAGCTTTAAATTCCTTTATTTTTATCTATTATGTATCTTTATCTCACTTCAATTTAAATATTGCCTTCATTTCTTTCAACAATAAAAAAAGATTCAATTTGCCTGGGTTCAGGCTCCGATCATGTACATAAAGTTCATGTCAAATATTGAAATGCATAATACTTACTGGTGGCAATTTTCAGTCTCCCTTGCAGTGAAATAAATCTTTGAATGAAACGAATTACTATATTTCTTATGTAATGAACTTTCGTGTTTTGTTTTACCAAAAGCACCTTCTAAGTGCAATAACTTACCAAACCGGAAATAAAATCTCGCACTGTCCACTTCATCTGCAGAGAATGACTCCGTACACAGTTGTCGCTTTTTTCTACCGTTGAAGATCGCAGAATTGCCTTCATGAACAATCCCACAATCAGCACCGATGTAGCCATTCTCAATTTGAATACTGGAAAGAGAAAGGATGTTAACCTCAGAAGCATAACAACTACAATAAAAAAGCCTGAATAAATGAGTAACATCTTGCAATCCACGAATGAAGACAGTCAAAATTCTACACTGGGGCAAAATTCGTATGTTTTCAATTGATGTCATTTTCTTCAAATATCATGTCTTTTATTATTTCATACTTATAACTTGCACAAACTCCACCTATTCATTAGAGAAACCTTTTTCACAGGGGCTAAAATTCAAGAAGAAACTCATTTTGTCAGCACTCCTCACATCCTGATAATTTCAACAACAGAAGCACTCCTGGATCATTGAGTACTGCATTGAAAACTCATATTGACCCTACAAACAGAAATAAGACTTTCTTCTTTTCAATATATACTTTTTAAATACTGTACTAATTTTGCACAGGATGGCATTGGCAGAAGACAATATATGAAATGAACCATATAATAAGGTATCCTTGACCTGAAAAATATAAAAGAATTTGAGAAAAACGTAAATAAAATTCATCAGAAGAAAGAGAGGCGAATGGGGACATAGACCTCTATTTTAAAAAAGTAGAGGTGATATAAATATATCTTCCAGCTCGTTAGGAGCCATCAAATCAAGGAGCATATTTTTGCCAGCAAGGCTTCCTCCCCCCTTCCAGAGTACATTCTTCAATGAAAAGTGTGAATGATGTCAGCAAAAACAAACAGCCTGGTTTTGCAGCAATGCGTTGAATAAGAAAGGATTCATATTATTATTTTTACTGATCTTATTTCTGACTCTAAGCATGGAATTGGATAGGCTATTAATTCCATCCTTGTAACAGTTCTCAAACACTGAACTAAGTAGGTACGGGATTAATAAATATACTCAAAAATAATTTTTACAACTCAATCTATCTTTCAAGGACCAAGCGAGCTTGTTTTTCTAGCTCAAAAAGTAACATACATACCTTGTTTCTTTACTCTCAAAGGATTCTGTTAAGAAAGCATCAGCCTCAGAATTGAGAACATCAAGATCAAGGTCACGTGTCACAGCAAAGGTCATGCTCTGATTCCTGTCCTCAAACACAAAAGCATTTCCGTGCGACTGGCATTGTTTCTAGAAGAAAAAAAAGGAGAAATATGTAAACGACAATATTATTCTTTGAGGACAAAATATGTTTAATTGATAGATGTTTTTCACTCAATTCTCCAATTTTTTCCTGCATGTTAACATTCAGTAAGTCTATTATATTTAATCAATGAATAATGTCATCGAAATTCCTTCTTGTTTCAGTTATGATAAACAAATTATTTGGCAATATTTTTACTCTACCTTTGCTTGCTGTTGGCTTCAGAACAAATGTACAAGCAAATAGAATACCAGAATTTTTTCTGAAAAATAAACTTCTCCTACTTTTTAGATAACTGTTGAAAAAAAATAATGACTCTTGCATTATTTACAAATGATCAGCAACAAAAATACTTAGGGACCTCCTAATCGTTTTGAAACCGCTGTGTAGTTTATTATTTTCTAATCACATCGTTCCAAGAGCCTCTCTTAGTAATGTCATATGAAAGCTGTCGAGATTCTTTTCCTGATCTGAATGTGCAGTCCAGTTTTCCTTGAAGTTTGCTCAGAACATATACACTTTCACTTTATACCAAACTTTCTTTGATAGCTTTTCCAATCCCAGTATTTGACTCTTGACCAAACAGAAAACCTATCTGCTATACCTGAATATAGATTCTTATCATATCTCTTTTCACGTTTTAGACTTCAAGAAAAAGGATCACAAACCTAAAGCAAACATTAAAAATAAAATAGCTCATGTCTCTTTCCCTTCACGGGCTCCTGGCTCAGAGAGAGAAGACAGAAACCTTCATTACTAGTAACTTAAAAGAACTGGTAACTCAGAGGGCTTGCAAAGATAAGAATAGCCACATACAAACCTCAACATGAGCACCGGGGAAGAAGATCCAATTCCCGGGATCCACAGGGTCAAAATTCTCCACCAGATCCTGTGGGTTCTCCGCTGTGTTCACCACAACCACATTATCAATGGCCCAGCAGCCATGATAGGAGGTCTGAAATTATATCAAAACCAAAGATAATGGGAAAAAATGGAGGATGAAGGAACAACTGAAAGTACAGTAAAGACTTATGGTTTTGACAGCTGTGGTTGTATTCATCGCACAGTTGAACTCCTATATTGAAACTAGATCATCAATTTCTGACTTGTAGAATAATCCTAAAAACAAAAATATCTTACAAAAATGTGAAACAAATTCTAAATAGCTAAAAGTAATATAAAAGTCACTTGAAATAGAGTGGTCTTTCAGTGAGATGGTATTCTCAAAAAATAAGCTTTATACAGCATACCAAAATTAGAGGTTCATCAAAATACATAGCTTTGCTGTGACTGCCCTGACCTTCTGTGAAAGTTCTTAAAGTGAGTCAAAAAGTTCATAGCTTAAACAAAATCATATATCCTCCATTATGAGGAAATGCCTTTTGAAGAAAATGAAAGGCAAGAAATTCAGGGAATTCCACTTCCAGAACACACTCCTCTGACAAATTCAAATTTTTTTTAAAGGGCTAGGCAAGGCTGCAGGAGAATAAAATTTCTTTACAAATGTGTTCTCACTGGGATTTTTTTCATTAAAAGCATTATTCATTTTTCAATCACAGCTGAGGTGCCTTTAACCCTTCCAGCCCCATGTGCGTATATTTTCAGCAGCGCTTGTACCTCCCTCCGTCCCAAGAGCGTATATTCTCAGTTTCGGGGGGTACTGAATTTGCGCATTTTTCGAAATTAGCTTATCTAACTAAACTTTAATTTTCATAATATTTGTTCATTTACCTTTAAACAATGCTAGATGTTATTATCTAAACCTCATAACGAAGATACTACATCATTTTTTAGAATGCATGCCTCTTTTTCTGAAATATCGTTGTATTGGCTGGGACAGGGGTTAGGGAGTGCACAAACATGGCTAGGGCTGGAAGGGTTAAACTGAGAACCAAAAAAGAAAAAAGGAACCGAGGACTGCATTTCATGACACTCCAGCAAAACTCACACCATCAAACGGCTCATCTTGCTGGGGCCCATCATTGGGAATAAAATCAAAATTCAGTGTTGTCCCTGGAACTGTTGGGTCTATGAAGAATTCGGTTATCACCGGGTACTCCGAGGGTTCAGTGAGATTCTCAGTAGTGATCTCACTGGGTGGTCCTGTGGTTGGTGCAGTCGTTGTCCTTGATGATTCCTGTGATGACAAAGCTGGTGTCGAAGGTTCCCCTGTTGTTGTTGTAGTAGTTGTTGATGTAACAAGCGTTGTAGCAGAGGCAGGGGTGGTGTTGGACGTTGTCTGTTTCTTTGTCGTAGAGGCAGTCGAGTCTTCAAGATCAAACGAAACCCATGGGATTGTACGGCTTGCAGCAGTGACCATGGGACCAGCTTCAGTCACAACTTTATCCGTGGTTGTAGGAGAGTCTGTGGTTGATGCAGGCAAAGTCTTCTTTTCCCATTCTTTGGTTTCATATTCAGTAGGTATCACAGGTCTTGTTCCTGCATCAGTGGAAAACTTATTGTAAGATTTTGTGGGTTTAGGAGTCACTTTGGACGCCATGATTGGATTGAAAGAACTTGGATCACGAGATGGCTGGAAGAACATCAGACAAATTCCTTCCTGGCGAGCGGATACTGGTAGACTGACCACATGGGTCTCGGTGCCAGAACTGGTCGGTACCCTGAAGAAATGGACAGCGGTAAATGATATCAGCAATGTGGGACAGCACTATAAAGGCTGATGGTGAAACAGGGGAAACAATACAGGTGACACAGGGGCCTACTATAAAATTGGACTCTCAGCCTAGTCTGAGTTGAGAACTTTTAAGGCTCTCCATCCCATGCTATTTAGTAGTACTACTTTAGACATCCAACCTCTTTCCCTTTCTCTTGTTAATCAATTTCCTTTCCTCAATAGTTCTGATGTTTACATTATTCCTTTTTTTAATTTAAGAAACAACAACTTTTCTTCATGTAGAGTAAAACCAGATTAAAATATCTGGGATACCTACGGATGACACTTGTAACTATATATGTATACTTCTTTTCATGATAAATAATTATAAATACAGTTATTCTTTGTTCAAAAAAGGAATTTATTTTGGGGGGGAGGGCGGGGTTCCACACACACTTTTATTTTCAACAATGACATTTTCAGGTACTCTGTTTTTATCAAATACCAGACTATCTACTTACTTGACTTTTCCTATGGCTGTCCATCTTTGACAACTGTCAGTTCCATATGCAATCACAATGGCATTGTCAGGCTTGCTAGATGGGCGACATTTACCTCCTCCTGCACAAAAGGGACAAAAATAGAAAAGGGGATCAAAATAGAAAATGGAGTTGTAACAGACTTCTAGCTTAAGATTTTATGGCAATGACAAACTTTTGGACCAAACGGATGACACTTGTAACTATATATGTATACTTCTTTTCATGATAAATAATAATAAATAGTTATTCTTTGTTTAAAAGTATTTTCTTTGTCCAAAAACATTTTTTTTTTTTAACGGGCGGGGGGGGTGGGGGAGGGCGGGGTTCCACACACATACACACACACACTTTTATTTTCAACCAATTGTTGCTGAAAAAAAAGATCAGACAAAATAAATCATTGAGAAAAAAATTGCTTATACAACAACACTACAAAGTAATTTAACAAAGGCCAAAACCAAAGAATCAATCACATGAACCTTGGTTGCAGTATTACTGTCAATGTTGACATGGTGGTTGGTGAATCAAAAAGATCCTGATTTATTTTTGCTCACATACCACTGCTCTGAACATTTAATTCTTTTTATTGTTGCTGAAGGAAAAGATCAGACAAAATAAATCATTGAGAAAAAAATGATAAGGAGTTCCCTTATAGCTAAACTTTGACTGTAATATCATGATAGCAGAAATGTAATGGTATGGACTTCGACACAAAAGTAAAAAAAAAAAAGAACATTTTTATTACTTACCCAAGGAAAATTGCAAAACATGAGCTGAAGTCAAGTTCAGTGGAACTGTTACCTACAAAACAGAAAGAAATAATTATGAAAGAAATCATATACCACGTTATATTTTATTTATCATTCACAGCATTAAAAAAAAGACTGCTTTTGCAGAAGGTGATTAACATAATTATGAGGGCTCACTATGGTACTACACAGCGTTTCATAACAATGTCACGATAGGTCTCCATTTACCAAATTCAGATGTAAATCTCGGTATAATAGAAAAAGCATTCCCTAAATATACTGTGTATAAAAACATTAAAGGAAAATTTTTATTTTTGACGCAAACATTGAAAATGATATATCTAAAGTGGTATGCTAAGACAACAAAATAATGTGTGATTGATATCTCCAGAGGACACTAATAAAATCAGGTGAATTGAGATTGATGAGTTGTAGAGTCAGTACAAAAATGGTCACATCCAATCAAAAACTTGAAAACGAAACTTCTAGTAACACTGGATATAGGCAGGGGCAAAGCGTCTACATAATCAAATAACCACTAGTTCCCGTCCATGACTTGAGAATATCATCAGTCACATTCACCCACAGGTATAGGCCTTATAAATCTAAATAGCCATTCACAAAATCACCATTGAGCCTCGTGCAAAACACTCAATAGTGTTTAATTGCCACTTACTTATCTGCCCCCCCCCTCGGACCACTCTCATGAGCAGTCACAAGCGTCGATTGTGTAAGCTAATCAAACTGGTCGAGTCTACCTCAAAATGGAAAAGAAGACTGATTCTTAATTAACTCTTAGCCACAAAAGGCTAGATCAAGACAACATGAGGCTTCTTTTCAAAAGAAATTCAACATCAAATATAGAAAAATGTTTATCTTATTAATACCATAGAGAACCAAGAAGCAGAGTGACATACCAGTTCGCGGAGGCCAATGCTATCACAGAGAACAGCAGCGTTTCCATACACAATGCTACCACATTCCTCACTAATGCGACCTCCCTCAGTCCTCAACCTGGTAAAGCAAAAAGAAGGATCATCTGTATGTAGCGTGTATAAATCACTTGCATCAATATTGATTCAATACATGATTGTGTCAAATATCTATTTTAAAAACAAGACGCGCTTTATCATTTAAAGTTTTACTACAAAGAGGCATTTTGCTGTAATCCACTATCAAACCTTATCTACCACGCATCTTACACAAGGGTGGAGTCAAAATCATACCTGAATGAGAAATACACTACTTGGTTGCATACAATAGAGAACTCTTCACTCTTCTCTAAAATGTGTCTCTACAGCCCCGGAGCACACAAAGGAAAGTTTTTACGATCACATAGCTGCAAGTATGCAAATGAGACAGTTTGTCCCTCTTTAGTGCCAAGAGACATCATACTTCCCAATCTTGCAAGGAGCGAACATTTTCCTAGTGTGCGTGGGGCCAAGTGAGCGAAGTTTTTACATTTCTTTCAATATCCAAGTAAATTTCAGGTGGTGTGCTATGAAACTTTCTCCTCAGATGAATTTCAAGTGGTGGGCATTAAACCTTTCTCCTATAACTTTTGCTCTACAAGATAAAGGCTTATCCAAAATCCCTGTTTAGCTATAAGTGTTTTTTAGGACATAAAAACGTGGACTCACTTCAATATTCAAAGGCTGTTCAAAATTACCTATGTAAGGTCAAGTGTAAATACAGATAGATCTCCTTGGGAAAAATTCAAAATGTTAACCTTTTCTCCTAGTATCTCATGTACAGAACCTTTGATACTCAAGTACATGTACATCATACTGTGTTTATTTGACTGTTATCCAATAAAATTTGCTAAGAAAGAAAAACTCACCATAACTCTGGGTTGAAGTCCTTGGTGTCCCCACTCTCAAAGTCTTCCCTGAACAAAGCTGTCTCTGTGTGGATCTCTGCCAGTTCAGGTCGGAGGGGAGAGGAGCTTTCCTCTTTGGAATATACATTAATTTATTTTTCATTTTAAAAACAAGTTTTGATTCTTTATTTGCATCCATTTTACAGGGGAGGGGGGGATTTTTCTTGCAAATTCACTCAAAGTGTTAGGAGAAAGCAAGATGAATAGAGAAAAATGAGGAGGAAGAAAAAAGTAGAATCTATCAGTGGTATTCTCAAACCACCAGGACTCAGCAACATTCTCAGTTGCAAGAAACATGGATGTCTAATGCCAATAGGGTGATATTTTCTGTTCTGTACATGCATATTTCACAGCGACGCTTGTTAATAAAACAGAGGAAAGGCCTGCCTATAACAGAGGAACTGTAAGAAAAGGATTTTCTCCAGAGTCTGGAGGGGCAAAATGGAAATATAGCACAATTAAACTGACTTCTCAAATATTTTCCACATTTCTGTCTACATCCAACATCCCTTGCTGAGGAAAAAAAATCTATAGGCAATAGCTTTTGGCTGCTTGGACCGTGAGCCAAAGAATGACAGAAGAGCAAGTAACAATCTTTTTCGCCATCTTTGACAACAGCATTGCTTGACCTATGGCGAAATCATCCCCCCGTTAAATTAAAATTGATGCAGAAGATGCAATTTACTTACAACTCTGTCAATGTTTCTTCATCCACAGTTTTAAGAAACATAATATTCAAAACGCATGCAACCACTTGGATTGGTCTTTAAATTTATTATAATGATTATACTAATATATGGCATTTATAGGCATAAAAATAATATTTAGGTATCCTACATGTAAACTATGAAAAACAAAAAGAAATAAAATGCTGGTACCTCCTTTCTCACAGAGCTGCAAGACTGTGGTGTCTTTGAACAAAAGCTGCTGACCATGTGTGGCTGTGGCCCTGAGTGAAGAGTGGTTTAAAATAAGGTAAAAATTTTAAGTAGAAAGGACAGTTTATATTTTTGCATTTTTTTCAATCTATAAGCTCATAAAACTTCCTAATACTGTTGTCCAGCCTGTTCATCCCAATTTATTATCTCAGGCCCCAGAGGGACATACAGTGTGTGAAACTGTCAGATGCTTAGATGACATCATTTACACATTTCTAACCAGTGTCTGTGGTATAGCTGTTAGGCAGAAGACCTGAGCTTGATGATTCCCATGTAGGAGTTTGGAGGTAACAAGATGAAATGTTGGAAAGATCCTTCCTTAAATGGGGAACAATGAATGCAAATTGAACAACAAGAAAGAACCACAAGACAAAGAGAAATGCAAAAAACGGATAAATCAACAAATGGAAGAACACAGGAACATAACAATAAATGAATGAGAAAATGAATAAATAAATAAAAGAATGAATGTGAAAAAGAAAAGAAGAGTATTTTGAAAAAAAATAAATACTTACAAAAAGTTGACACAGCCAGTCCCAGAGGGTGGAGCCATCCATACAAACTGCAGGGTTCTCATAGGCCGGGGACTCACCTGGGAATGCACAACATGACAAAGCATGTTAACAAACTAGGTATCTCTCACTCTTTCATAATTATTGATAGTCTACTTGTCAGCCATACGTAGATTAAAATTGACTTTGAAAAGATAATAATCTTGCTGAGAACATATCACAGAAATGTTTTAAAAAAAAACAACAGCTGAAGTTGGCCATCAGGATGTAATCCAAAGCTCCTTTTGCCCTCCCCCCCCCCTCACCCCCAACATATCTGTGGAATAGTGGAACTCCCATTTTTGAAGGACATTTTACAAGTGGTGCGCCCCTCACCAACCCACAATTCATACAATCTTAAATTTTGTTGTCATTGATCCAGTGGCCTTAGAGTGTGCCCTTTGGCCCAAAGCCACGTTCAAAAGGTGGTCTTCAAAAGTTCCTCTTTGCTGTAGTACAGGGTATTGTCTTTGGAAGGGACAGGAGGGGGAAGCTGTCATCAGACTCTCAGTTTGGGACATTTGAAGTGGAGAAGTTAGATAGTTTCGTAGATATGTGGTCACAAAGAGAGCATTCTGGTGATTTTAACGGGTTCATTCTGTTTACGTAGTAATTTAAAGGTATGTGCTGTGTAAAGAGGCGAAAATATTGTTGTTTTCCCCCCCTTCTGTAGAGGGCTTTTATGCTGTCAGTTTGGTACATTAAATTGTGCATGATTGCCGTTAAATCAGATGTTTGTCAAAATTATTAAATCAAAGAAACTGACATTTTCTCACCCGCTGCCCAATTTTTATCTATTTCTTTTTCTAGCTCAACACCTTTTATGTCCATTTAAAAACACATTTCTGCATGGATTTAACAGAAAACATTGATCAAAGGCAAAAGAAATTATGAATTTGTAGTTTTCAAGGACACTCAACCTTTGAAAGTCACCAAACTTTGGCGGTCATTTTCTGTTTAATTTTACCTCTGAAATCAGACAATTGTAACTATCTTGACTTCTATGCTTGATGGGTATTTTTTCATCAAATGCCAGACAAATGAATAGGCTCTAAGATTATACTGAAAACTCAATAATCCCAAACATTGATGAATGCCTAAGTCCACAGCATCGTGACACAAATATGATATGGTCAGAGGAGTTAATTCCTTCATTACCTATATGACGTATGCAGTTAGTCATTTTTTCTTATATGACGAAGGAGTATAAAATGTGGCTGTGACGTACGCCGTTCGTCATGCCTTTCAAAGCACGAGGAACATGATGATAAATGCTGTTCATCAGAGGTTGAATTCTGCAGACTGCTTCAATTAGACGAATTTCGTAAAACTAATCGAAGATTCACATTAAGCGATATTCTTTTCATACAAAGAAATCTTTTCCTTTCAGAGATAGTAGTATTTACAGACAAGGTCTAATTATAGGAAACTGACCACTAAATCTGAATCCTGGGGATTCAAAACTGTGCCCAGAAAAGCACAAACTGACCCTGCGTCATGAAGGGTAAAGAGAGGACGAGACTTGCCTGGGAGTGCACAATGGAGCACATGAGGTTCTGCCCTCCTGTGTGCATGGTCCGGCCAAAATGGTTCCCCACGGTGCTTCCACCTTGTATGTCAGAGGTGGTTGTGTACAAACCAGTCATCAGGAAACTGTCAAATGTTTCACTGGATGAAATACTGACTGAGGACAAGAGAAAAGACAAAACAATAAGCACAAGTATACATTACATTGTTCTAAGACAACTTTGGAAAAGCGAAAAGAGCTTGCTGTTGAGAAGGAATTTTAACTTCACAAAACAAGCTCTTTATTATTACAGGCTAACTCTTCATCAGTTAAGAATGAAAGCAAACAAATGTTAGCTCAATAAGCTCAGACGGCATCATGCTGGACTATGGAGCGGACCGCTCTGGTTTGAATTGCAGACTAGGCGTTCCTCAACATGGATTGTTTTGTGGAGTTTAAAAACTCTCAACTCAACTGGCTTTCCGAGATGGACATTAAATTTAGAGGTCACGCCTCTTAAATAACCGAACAGTGTTGATAGAGGCATAAAACCCATACACTTACTTTCCTTTACTTACTCTGGTAAAACGAGCCTGGCTCGTAGGCGGTCGGGTTTCCGTCAATGTGTACGCCGAGCACCACATCTCCCTGGTCCAGGCCGTAGTTCTGCGAGTTGCCGTGGAAGTTACAGAGGAAGAAGAAGGGCGACAGGTGCGGAACCATGCCCTGGGTGGGAGACACCCACACTGCTACCAGCCACACCAGGCTCAGTGCCGCAGCGACTGAACATACTCGGTGGAAACCTGAAGTGGCAAGGAAAACAAGACAGAGCACAGTCAGAGATGAGGTAGGAAGAAGGTGGTGGTGATGGATTGGACATACTCTCAGAAAGTCAGGCGATTGCATAAAAAGGAAGGCGTTAGTTTAGCTTTAGTAAAGGTTTACGGCGCTCGCAACTGCATAAGGTCATATGAGCGCCAGAAGATTAGAGGTGTTACAAAAGAGTAACAAACATAAAAAAAGAAGGGGAGATAAGGACGATAGATGTTTAATAGGAAAGAAGGAGCAAGCCACACCAGAGCAACCGCCAACCACCCACAGGAAAGGTGTTAGAGATTGGAATCCACAGAGAAAAAGACTGCATGAAACCCGGAGAAGAGTCACAGAAATTGATGTGCAGAAAAGTGGAAAGACATGGAATAACATCAAGAGGCTAACCTTGGCTAGGGAAAGGTGGAAAGTGTTTGTTCGTGGCCCATACCCTGATCCAGGGTGAGAAAGGCAATGATGATAATGATGGAAACCTGAAGAGGGATTGTTAATTACATGGAGTAGTGTTAGCAGACTGAAGAAAAGGATAAGATTGACAAGATGGCTGGGGAACATGAATCAAAGTCGGGTATTATGCGTGCAGGAGCAATTCATCTAACTGCAATATCACGGACTCTGGTTTTAAGAACAACAACCTTTGAGTTTTGAAATGAGCATAAGTCATAGGAATGTATTAGAGAGACAGGGGAGAGAGAGAGAGAGAGAGAGAGAGAGAGAGAGAGAGAGAGAGAGAGAGAGAGAGAGAGGGGGGGGGGAGGGGAGCGAGAAAGGAGGGTGAAGGGAGGGAAAGAGGAAGGAATAGAGAGAGGGAGAGAGTGATTAATAGATAGCTAGATAGATAAAGAGAGAGAGAGAAACACAGAGAGAGAGAGAGAGAGAGAGAGAGAGAGAGAGAGAGAGAGAGAGAGAGAGAGAGTAGGGAGGATACAGTCATTTGTCTTTTCATTTCTCTTTGTACCCAGAACTAACAGGGCAGTTTGACTAACGAAAAACTCAACAAACAAGGGATGGGACAAGTTCACACCTACTCAGACTTGAACCTCAAATCTTCCCGTATTGGTCAAGTTTGTTACTAACAGTACCCCAAGCAACCGGCAGTTATCACCCCGTCCCCTAAAAAAAACCCCAACATAATAAACGTAAAATAAAAATAACAACAAAACTTTGATCGTGGTTCAAACTTGAAGATCTTCGACACCCCCCCCCCCCAAAAAAAAAAAAAAAAAAAAAAAAAAAAAAAAAAAAAAAAAAAAAAAAAAAAAAAAAAAAAAAAAAAAAAAAAAAAAAAAAAAAAACAACAACAACCAAACAGCAACAACAACAAACAAACAAACAAACAAACCAAAAAACAAAAACAAAACAAAACAAAAAATTTTTAAAAACAACAACAACAGAATACGCCAACGTCTATGGAAGGAGAGCAAATTTAGAACAGAAAATTATAGAAGGATCGGTAAGACAGGGAATCTGCAGCTACAATCCCCCTATTAATTAACGAAATATACATTTTAAAAAACCCCAAAAACAGCACAACAACAGGTTCAACATGTCTGAAGGAAAATATAATATATTGGCCAAACACACGACAAAATGATTATTTCAAGGGTGCTGTGGGTGCGTGAAGAAAAAAAAAAAGGGGGGGGGGCGAAAAATAGATTGAATACACACCCAGAGGGGGAAGCAATTCCAGAAATGACAGGACAACAGGCAGCTGAACATTTATACTCAGTTGAGGCAAGTGTGATCTTTACATTAGAGTTAAGCGCTTATCACACGTTCAGTTAAAACTGACTGATGTCCTTCATCTTTGTGATAAGAAAATAATACATGATGCAAACTAGGTAAAAGTACTAATAACTTCTTTTCAGTGACCTTCACAATTTAGCAAGAAAAAGAACTATCCGTGGGTCATTGTTTGTTTATTTTGATACTCTGATTCCAAATGCATAGTATTTTAAGAGGGGACTTAGTTTTCAAAAAGATCATAAACGAATTATTTTTTAATCATCGGTGGGTCGCACGCGTAGAAGACAGGCCGGATGCACACACAATTTTTTTTTTTTTTTTTTAAATCAGGCAGTGCCAGATAGATGTTTGTTGTGGCCAGTCGGTTGGATGCTGTGATCCGCAATGAACATAAAGTCGTTTGCGATTGAACCTCTAACCACTAGCTAAAGAAAAGTCATTCTGGTCTCCGCTGGCTGTGATGCACCGGCTATGCACCAATACGTGTACCAAAGTACATTTCGTGTACATTCTCATCTCTCATCTCCTTCCCCCCAGCGCCCATTAGGGGATCAATACGCAGTGCCCATGGGGGGGGGGGGGGGCAATTGGGGGAATCGGTTCTCCACTTCAAACTGATCGGCAACCGATCACCCGACTCGCAGCCTGAAAACAAAAGCGTTTGTTTTTGAGACCGCGAGTCGGGCGATCGGCGATGGGTTTGTGCCACGATGGTCGCTTTGCGCCCTCAATCTGGCCAGCCCCCGCCTGCTAACCTATCGTCAAAATGGGCACAAGGGAGAATCGGATTATCAACGCGTATTCAACGCGTAGAGTGCCAGTTATACTACAGATTACAGCATAGCCAACTTTTCACCCCCCCCCCCTCCCGATAAAAAAACAACAACCAACAAACAAAACAACAACAAACAAACAAAAGAAACAACAAAAACCACACCAATAAATCCCCCCCACCCAAAAAAAAAAAATATATAAAAAATAACCCCAACAAAAAACAAACCCCAACACTTTTCATAAATGCTGTCTTGAAGGTTCATAATTTCTCTTCCGCATCGCCAGTTCTGTGAGGAGCAATACTGGGAAATAAACAATAATATTTTTTCCCTGATACAAAAACGAACTTCTATACTCAGACCCTCAAAAACATATTTAATTTAATACGCTTTTTAAATACTGGTGGGCAGATATGCTACAACTTTTCAATGCTTAACAGACAGGAACTGAAATACTGGAAGGGGGGGGGGATGTAGCACTGCCAGCCAAGTATCAACGACATTGAACAGCCGGATATTTTACGCCTATCATCTTCTTAAAAAGCAGCCGACGCGAGTGTGAGTACTTGTAGTGGACATATTTCAGAGTTCAGTTTGTCTGAAGGGTTAGGGAGGCTCTTCATCTCATACTGCTGCAAACTGGCAGGGATGAATTTATTGTGAAGTCCCTGCCTCTATAATATCCACCATAGACACAATCTTAACAGAGCCACAGTTGGTTCTGTTTCAGGACAATCTTTCAGAGACCCAACAACGTTTCTGGGCACTTCGTTAGCTCACTTGGTACCATGGTGGACTAGCCTAAGCGGAGCCAGATGATGGCCCCGGTTCCTATCCCAGACTGAGTATTCTTGAACTCAGGTCGTTTTGTGGAGTTTTCAGGGCTCTTAGCACATTTGGGTCGGTCCTACCAGAGACGGGCATTAAATTCGGAGCTCCCGTCTGTTAAGCCTATCCGTACGCCCTGGGGTGATTTTTGTATCCCCGGGATTGTATTCTCCACCTTTTAGAATACGTCTAGTACGAAGATCTCTTTGAAACTTTCAGTATTTCTCAAAAAATCATTTTGACAGACTGCTATGCAAAGCGTAACGATCGGATTAACGAGTTCATTCCCGGAATCTGAACGATATCAATTTACACCAGTTTCAATGTGACATTCGTGATGCTCTTGCTATTAGTTCCCCTTTTAACATAGAAACCCTCAATACCATCATGATGAATATTTTAGATGATCATGCTCCAGTTAAAAAACGAAAATTATCTCATCGACCTGTTGGTAGGTGGTTTAATTTAGAAATAAAGGATGCAAAAAAAGAAAAAAGACGAGCGGAAATAAAATGGAGAAAAACACGACTTGAAGTGCATAAGGGAATATTTATTACTATGAAGAATTCTGTTAGTAAAATGATTACCAAGGCCAAGCGTACTTTCTTTTTTGTCAAAATTTGAAAATGTTAAAACTTGTAAGGAACTTTTTGACGTCTCTAGTGAACTGCTTGGCAACCAAAACAGAACAATATTACCCCCTGGCACCGATAGAGATCTTTGTAGTAGCTTTTCAGACTTTTTTTTCTCGAAAAAAATCACCTCCATCAGGCAAGAGCTCTATAAAATATGCACAATTGCCCCAAATTACCATCAGTTTAAGGGACTAGTCATCGATTATTTTACTCCAGCAACGGAAGAAGAAATCAAAAAGATCATATTAGATAGTCCATCAAAAAGTTGCGCCTTAGACCCCCATGCCCAGCAGCCTTTTAAAAAAATGTTTGCATGAACTTCTTCCACATATCACCCAAATTGTAAATGATTCTCTCCTCACAGGCATAGTACCAAATTGCTTTAAGACAGCACATGTCCTTTTGAAAAAATCTGGACTTGATGAAAAGGACTTCACAAATTTTAGACCAGTTTCAAATCTTTCTTTCGATCCTATCCAAAATTCTGGAAAAAGTTGTATCTAATAGACAGTTACATCATATTAAAGCAAATAATCTTAGCGAAGTCTATCAGTCAGCATATAAGGCACACCATAGTACCGGGACAGCGTTACTTAGGGTCTGTACTGATATTTTAAAATATATTGATGAAAAAAAGGTATGTCTTCTTACTCTTTTGGACCTTTCTGCTGCATTCGATACCATCGATCATGACATTTTACTCGAGAGATTAAATACTACTTTTGGCATAAAGGGTACTGTCCTGCGATGGTTTGAGTCATATTTTAAGGATCGAACACAAGCAGTTGTGGTTGGAAGCACGTGTTCTAATAATGTTTTGCTTAGATGTGGTGTTCCTCAGGGGTCTGTTCTTGGACCTGTCTTGTCTACAATGTATACACAACCTATTGCTGATATTTTAAGACATTATGGCATGAATTACCATCTTTATGCTGATGACACTCAAATTTATAAGCCTATTGATTTCGATCAAATACCACTTTTAGTCGA